GTTGCTCGGGTTTAGGGAAGCGAGCGGGCGGGCGGGTCGATCGGTAAAATTGGTTGGGTTCAGGGAAGGAGGAGAGCAGGTCGGCCGATTGGCCGGTCGCGCAGTCAATCATCCGGTCAGTCGGACAACGGCCTCTGATGGGTTCACGCAAGAACAGCGTGGGCGCGAACCGCACTCGCAAGAGGCGTCTGAGGTGCGAAAAAGCGCACAACAGCGGCCTCTCGCGGATTCGCAAAAACAAAAACTGCAGCCGTACGTACCCGGTCTCCAGAAACGTCCGCGGGACTACGTTTCCACATTGAGCCTGGGTTGCAGTATTCCATCTTGTTTTACTGATCCTCTTATTTTAATTTCACAAAGTAAGCTTTATCTAATGAAAGTATTCTTTTACTGATTATTATTATAAGCCACTATACTGTATATATACACTGGGTTTTAAAAAACAGCGGTTCGAACTGTAGTTCTGCCAAGTGACTAAAAAGTTATCAGCATGATGGTAAAAAACTGTACATTTCTAGACAAACCATTCGGTACCACTTTATATTAAGTGGCCTTAACTAATATGTACTTACACAGAAATTAATAGTTTGTTACGATGTACTTATTGTGTAAATACATGTATTTACTGTGTACATATGCTTGATTAAATACCTGTATGTAATTACATCTGTAATTAACTTTTGTGATTACATTTGTAAATACACTGTTGACCATCTCTTACACCTTAACCCACCCTTAAACCTACCCATACCACCAAACCTGTCCATAACCCAACCTCTATCCCAACTCAAAAGCACCACAAGTGTTCTCAAATACATTATAGACACAGTAAGTACATTTTATTTATTTTTTGATGTAAGTACATAGTAGTTAAGGACACAAATAAAAGTGGGACCAACCATTCTTCTGCAATCTCTTACCAAAAACGGTAATAAGGGCAGTATTAATAGCTATAAATGTGGGAGAGCGCTGATATTATGTGATTGTATAGTATTACAATAAGGAACAATTAAATGTTGATGTTATATCAAAAGCAATTCACAAATACTTGAAAATGAAATTATTTAATGACAATAATTCTCTATGGTTACAACTGAATTAATTACAAAATAACTGTATAAAATGATAAAATATAAAATGATAAAACATGATATACATTGTACCCAGATTAAATTTAAAATTAAAGTTATTAAAGGTAGAAGGAGAGACACAGGGGGAGGGAGAAAGAGACAAAGAGAGCTGGACCAGAAGTTAACCTGATTGCAGTAGAGTCAGAGAAGATAGACTCCAGAGGAGGAGAGGAGCTAAGCAGGAAAAGAAAGGCCAGGAAAAAAGGAGGGCAGGAAAAGACAGAGCCCGAGTTTACCACCTATTTTGCATCTTTCTTGACCATGTGACTAAAGCCCAAATGCTGAGACATTCAAACTGACCAATCAACATGTGACCACATCATAAACAACTGTTTACCTAGTTAAAATTAATACCTAATTAAGTCTTTAAATTGCAGTTGAATACCAGTATCCTGCAAAATAACTAGTAAAATATTATGTACTGTGATAATGGCTAGGTATTTTGCAGGATACTGGTATTCAACTGCAATTTAAAGACTTAATTAGGTATTCATTGATAATGGCTAGGACAAAAGTAGATTAGTTATTAGAAAATAGTTATTAACATGTGTTGAAAACTCACACTTGTGCAACAATCTTTTGTTCAACTTGGCATTCTTGCACAGCAAAGGTTTCCAATTCTCAGTTTGTATTTCAGTTTCCCAGAAATGACTGTTGCAGAAATAAAGTAAGCTTCTTTTTGATTTCTGTCTTCGTTTCTTGGTTTCAGTTAGCTGTAGAAAACCCAGGCTTTCAGTTCCAGTTTTTCATGTTGCTTATTCTCCCATTTAAATAAAAGGAAAATCTCTAACTCACCACACTTGGTTTATTGTCCTTCCTCCCCAATAGGCTTTAGTGGAACCCTCAGTCCCAAGTAGCCAGTCATTAAACATTTCCCATTGAAGTTTTCACCACAAGAAAAAATGTGCCTTCAATGTCTGGAGAAGATGTTATATCAATTATTGAGACTTGTTGAAGTGTCACCTGAAAAGTGTGGGAAAATGTACCAATGTCATGCACTTCCCTTTAGCTTTTTTGTTGCATGTTTTTGGTTGTTTCCACATTTTTTCACATTATATTAGAACTTCTCTTTATGGCTGACTTCCTCAATCGCTCTAACTCTTATTATATTTTCATCTCTTGTTTAACTCTTCCAGTCGCCAGTTATTACAAGATGCTGGAGGTCACCAACTTCTTTCACCACAAAAGAAGAATCGAAGATTTTAGATGAACTGTTAAAGAAGTAAAGTAAGAATTATTAGCCCCCTGAATTATTTTCCTCCCTGTTTATTTTTTTTTCCTCCAATTTCTGTTAATGGAGAAGATTTTTTTCTTAACATAATAGTTTTAATAACTCATGTCTAAATATTAATTTATCTTTGCCATGATGACAGTAAATAATATTTGACTAGATACTTTTCAAGACACTTCTAAATAGCTTAAAGTGACATTTAAAGGCTTAACTAGGTTAATTAGGTTAACTAGGCAGGTTAGGCTAATTAGGCAAGTCATTGTATGATGGTTTGTTCGGTAGACTATTGACAAAAAACATAGATTAAAGGGGCTAATAATTTTGACCTTAAATAGTTTATAACAAAATAAAAACTGCTTTCATTCTAGCCAAAATAAAACAAATAAGACTTTCTCCAGAAGAAAAAATATTATCAGACACACTGTGAAAATTTCCTTGCTCTGTTAAACATCATTTGGGAAATATTTAAACAAGACAAAAAATAAAATAAAAAATCAAAGGGGGGCTAATAATTCTGATTTCAACTGTTTATAAACATTGGCTTGCATTAAAATAATAATAATACATTATTATTTAAGCTAGCAGTTCAGATTCATAAAACAGAGTAAAACAAGCTGTTTCAAAACAACTAATCTTTATTATTAAATCTACCAAGAAACAGATGTTACATCAGATTTGCGTACCAGCAAAATATTCCAAGTAGAAGAGCTTCTCTGTGGAAAACCTTTTAAAATAGTTACTGAAAGCCTGCATAGCAACCTTTTAACCATTTTGATTCTGTTTTACACAATAAGTGCAAGAAAGAAACCAACTAATTCAGACAAAGAATATGCAAATTACTGTAATTACAGTCTTAAGTAGAAATACCAACAGAAAACACTTAATATATCAACGAGACATATAGTTCAAATACAGATTGCATCAGATTTAACGTCGAGGTCCACAGTAAAGGTTTGGTACGACTATAATATTGGTCATAACACTTGAGTTAATGCTCAGCATTCACATTGTGCCTGCAATGTTTAGTCAATAATCTATGGCGGAAGTTACTAAACATTTGCCATATGGACATTTAATACAAAGAACACCAAAAATAAATAACATTCTTCTTCATTTTTTGGTCACATTTTCAATTTTGCATTGCGTCTGCACTTACACCAGTATTTTCGATTATCCCACAACCAGAAAAAAGCATTGTGTGTGCATACACTGTAAAAGTGCAGGATTCCACCAGCCTGATCTCATGAGAAAACGTAAGTATTTTACGTTTTCCTAGTTTGGTGGCTAATTCTTACGAATTCGTACGGGATCAGTCGAACGAAATTGTACGATTTTAAAAAGGAGGCGGGGCACCTAACCCCACCCCTAAACCCAACCGTCATTGGGGAATGAGCGAATTGTACTAAATTGTACGAATTACATCGTACGCATTTATACGAATTAGCCACTAAATCAAAAAGTAACGAATTGCCGTGAGATTGTGTTGGATTCCACACAATCCATTCATGTTATCCCAGCACAAATAGGTAAAGTTTTTGACTAATTTAGCAATTAAGTTGTCCCCCTAAAAATCTCAAGAAATTCAAGCTCATTTTACTTTAAATAAGAACTTTGAACAAGCAGCAACAACAAATCTAGATGTCAACAAAGAATGTTCCATTAATTAATAACGCATGACAACAAGCCTTTGGATTATAAACGCCACATGGAGATGCGTGTGATCCTCTATCAACGCATACTCGACCTTCACATCTAGACTTCAGCGAAATCAAAGGCATTCAGAGCAGTAAACGTGAACATGTAAACCATCCAGGAGAGACTTTCAGAATGTAGGAAGAGCATGAGATTGTTCGCCAACATTGTTTGGGTCAAAATGAATGATTTTTCTTCAATGATCCAAAAATCATTTGTAAATTCAGCACAATCACACGAGAAAATGTAATTAGTTCAAGTATTGTCAGAAAAGTAACTAGTGTCAATTCAAACAACTTAATTTGTATAAAAAAAATTTTAAGGGATGCATGCCCCTAAACCAAATCGTACTAAAATGAATGAAAAAGATTGTATAAATTAAAACAAATTACCCACTAAATCAAAAAGTTACCAACTGTTGTGAGAATGTGTTGAATCAGGGCACCTTCCGTCCATTCTTTATCTGCTTTCAAAAAAAAAGAAAAATTAAGAAAAAAGACATTTTTGGTTTTTTCTTTTGCTCACAAAAAATAAAAGATTTTGGCTCGATTTTAGTTTTTTGGTTTAGGGTATGAAAACAAATAAACATATTCAAAATTCATTTACACATGTAGGCTGTGCTGAAACACCCTTTTTCTTCTGATTGGTCAACCAAATATAAGATTGTGATGTCAAAAAAAAAAATCAAGCCAAAATCTCATTTTTTTATTTTTTTATCTTCTTCGTTTTTTGTGAGCAAACAATGAACTGAATAATGTCCGTTTACTTAATTGAGCTTTGTTTGTTTAAAAATGGATATAGAATGGACAAAAGATACCCTGATTGTGTTGGAATATTACAGGGATACTTCATCCAAAAATGAAAATTACCTCATCATTTACTCTCCCCCATGTGATTTTAAACATTTATGAGATCCTTTCTTCCCTGAAAGCCTTTTTTTACTTTTCTTTTTTTTACTTTTAGAAACAGATTTTGTCTTGTTTTTAGTCCAACTATCTAAAAATTAAGATGCAGTATGTAAGTTTGACACCCAGTGGTTGAAGTAGGTATTGCACTGTTGGTTCAAAACACACACAAGTGCAGGTTGCAAGATTGAGGACACTGACGGTAGTGTGCCTGACTATCAGTCATATTCTAAATAAAAGCAACGGCACGCGATAGAAGGAATATTTTTTACATTAAAGCTGATCTTTTGTCCTAACCAACACTTGATGTTTTATTTATTTTATTTTAGAAATAGCTTTTATTTCTTGCAGCTAAACAACAGGACAAACTGATATTGATCACCTCAGGTACACCTCATGTGCTTTATTCAGGGTTAAATGCTAATAACGTGAGTTTAAATGCCATTTTACATGACATTTATTGCCATACTACATACCATAAATGATCAAAAAAAATCATTTTTAAGCAAGAGGCTAACGGTCTAATCTGATTTTGTGATTTATGCTTAGCTAAGCTAAAAGTGTCTAGAAATCGGCTGGATGGATTCAAAAATAGTCAAACTCAACTGTCTAACTCTAGAGGAGTTGTAAAATAATCATATTTCCAAAATAAACTGGAGTGTTCCAAGAGATGCAGTCATGTACACCTTAAAGTGTGGGCTTTATCGTTATTAAAATAATATTAGCTACAAGTATAAAACTATACAAAAAGAGCACATTTAACACAGATAAGCACACTTCTTTTTCACAAGGGCGAAAGACAAAAGTTTCCAGCTCTCCAAAAGGATTACAGAGACTAGCACATTACCTTTATTTATCCAAAGTCAGAACTTCTCCAGTGAATATGTCTCACCATCAGCGTCTATGAGTTTCATCGGAGTGCCCCCCATGTTTCTTAATCTATCCATGCAGATGTTTGGTTGCGTTCTACGCTCTTTGTTTCTTTAAAAAAGCACGCATAAAAGCTGGGCAGCTACATACTGTGACTTCAAGTTCAGCCCAGGTTTTGGTCCTGTGAGGGAAAACATGGCGATGGTTGTTTTGGAGGGACGAACCCTCTTTGCTTTGGCTTCCTCAGCCTGGCCCTGCCTGGGCAAGAAAGTCTCAGCAGTACTCTTTCTCCATCACATCCTTCAAGTGTCTACCTCTCAGCACTGATCTTGTATCGGAGGACGAAGTAGGCGATCAGACGGAGTGAAATAAAGAAGATGCCCAGGACAATGAAGTCCATGTAGAGCTTTGCGTCCTCAACGTCCAGCTCCTTCAGAATGGCTTCAGACTTCTGAAAGTGGCAGGTTTCGTCTTTGTCGCAGTGCAGGTCCTCACGGTCCAGCCCGTAGATGGACAGAATTACCCCTTCAAAACCATACCTAAAAGTCAAAGGACAACATATTTAGACCAAGACACCTTACAGCAGGGGTGCTCAATCCTGTTCCTGGAGATCTACCTTCCTGCAGATTTTAGTTGCTACCCATATCAAACACACCTGCCTGTAATTATCAAGTGGTGTTCAGGTCCTAATTAATTGGTTCAGGTGTGTTTGATACAATGACTGTAAAAAATATGGATGACGCGACAGCCCCTTTTCCCATTGAACGCCTCGAGGGCAAAACGCCTGCTTGACGGGCACAAACTGTCGCAAAAGACTGCTGAAATTGGAGCCATGACATGCGCAGAAGGACTGTCTGATGGAGCCAGAGGAGGAGCCGCAAAAATGAGCGGAGTCGAGCTTCCAACCAAACGCTTTATGTAAAATCAACCACGCCCCCCGAACTTATATATTCAATCGCGCCAGCTCCGGGCCGCAGCGCATAACATACTCCCGGCGTCGCGGGCTGATTCCGGCTCGCATGCGGCAGCGCCGGCCCGCTCGGCCGCCGCATCTGGCTCGATTGACTCGGGCTGGAATTGGGCAGTGAGTCCAGGCATCCGGAGTAGGTCCAGCAGAGGTAGTCAGTCTGAGCTCTGAGGGGTAAGTCTCGGGCAGGCGAGAATCTAACTGGAACTGGCCCGAGTGTATTTTGCTATCTGGCGGGTTAGGCGTGTATCAGCAAACTAATAAGCCCGAAAAAAGCCCACCAGGATCATGTATGTCAGAAACTATAGTTTACTGCTGAACTCATTTTGTCATGGTAAAATAACACAGAAATCGAATAATAACACTTCAGTCTCCTGCCGAAGCTCAGACGTGCTGCTTTGAGAAACTGTCAATCACAGCTGTCAATCACGATGACACGCCCAGCATTAAATTACTGCTAAAAACAAACTATTTACAAAAATGAAGATCTGCACCTATTTCAGCACAATAACCAGTGCCTTAATCGACCAGATCCATCTTTCGGGACATTTTATTGCAAGTGTAATAATTTTTTATATTTGGGCTCAAGTCTCCTTCATTAACACGGAGGAGGCGGGCTTTATGACTTGTACTGCAGCCAGCCCCCAGGGGGCGATCTAACAGCCGAGACCTTCACTCAAACACAGGCTTGCGGCACACTTGGTTTGATAAGGGTAGCAACTGAAATCTGCAGGAAGGTAGATCTCCAGGAACAGGATTGAGCACCCCTGCCTTACAATATCCTGAATGTTCTCCTAAACAGCAGTAAATGTTTAAAGCTAAAAGTTTTCTCTTAAATAAACACTTTTGGGGGGGAATAGGCTCAATTTACAAGTCCCCTAAAGTTTAACAACTGAATTTTGTTGTTTTTTTAATCCACTCTTTTAGCTTAGCTTAGCATAAATCATGTAGCTGTATCAGACCATTAGCATCTCGTTCAAAATTAAATAGAAAAATCAAATGAATTGAGAATTTTCTTATGTAAAGCTTGACTCATTGCTAGAATGTTCTAAAAAGTTGCTATTTTCTAGGCCGATACAGCTAGTTTGAACGAGCGAGATGCTAGCAGTCTAATACGATTCAATGATTTTGTGCTCAGATATTTTGTATGTTGACCTCTAAACCCCTTCTCACACTGTTTTCTGCATGCTAGGCCCGTAGTTGTCAATGTGACTTACTAAAAAAAGAAAATATGCTAGCCGTCTGTACACATATAGTCCTGTAGACCAGGGGTTCTCAAAATTTTCAGCCCACGACTTATTTAATGTAACTATTAGCTACAATTTTTATCTCCTGGAGGTTATGGATAAAATATGGTAATTCTTATAGTTTAATAAAATGAATTCGATTTTTGGAAATCAACAAGCAACCGCTCTCCCCTCAATGTACTGCACTTTTCCAAGGGGTCCCTACCCCCCTTATGGAAACCACTGCTGTAGACAAGCACTGTTACTTCGCTTGTCAATTTAGTACTTGCATATTCCTATAGAGCATGTAAAGACTGACATAGCCAACCAGGCTCATAGGAAATAAATGCCTCAGTTTACATTTTTGCGAAACATGCTCTGGGTAGGTTTCATTACACGTTTGAGATGACAATCCACTAGAGGGTGCTGTCTACATTTTTCTGAATCTTAAATACGTCACTTAGAGTATGTTTTGTTGTACATTACAGATACAGATCCCCCACAAAGGGCTGCACGGTGGCGCAGTGGGTAGCACGTTCACCTCACAGCAAGAAGGTCCGTTGGCGTTTCTGTGTGGAGTTTGCATGTTCTCCACGTGTTCGCGTAGGTTTCCTCCGTGTGCTCCGGTTTCCCCCACAAGTCCAAAAACATGTAGTAAGGGTGAATTGGGTAGACTCAATTGTTCGTAGTGGATGTGTGTGAATGATTGTATATGGATGTTTCCCAGTGATGGGTTGCAGCCGGAAGGGCATCCACTGTCTAAACATATGCTGGATCCGTTGGCGGTTCATTCACCCCAGATTAATAAAGGGACTCAAGAAAGTGAATGAATCCCCCACGAACCACTGACCTAAACATTCCTCTAAAACCAACCAACAGTGTTTTCTAAGGCAAATGTAAGAGAAAAATGCCCTGCGACCACATAGATTTACCTTGATTTTACATTACTTTTATATGTTTTGTGGAAGCGTGCTTCACCTGACTTGAACCCGAGTGCTCTGCATTACAAGTACAACACTGTACAAAGTAAACTACCAAACAGTTGTCCAAGCAGTGGTAGATTGTTGATGTAAACATATTTGATTACTATTTATAAACACCATTAAGTTATTGTGTGGCATTTATTTATCATTGTACAAAAAACTGCACAAAAATAATCCTTTATTCGTCGATTAAAATTGCTATAAATATCATTAATAATAATAATAATAATAATTCATTACATTTATATAGCGCTTTTCTGGGCACTCAAAGCGTTTTACACACAATGGGGGGAATCTCCTCATCCACCACCAGTGTGCAGCATCCACCTGGATGACGCGATGGCAGCCATTTTGCGCCAGACCGCACACCACACACCAGCTGATTGGTAGAGAGGAGACAGTGATGAAGCCAATTGGAATATGGGGATGGTTAGGAGGCCATGATGGAGAGAGGTCAGTAGGCAGATTTGGCCAGGATGCCAGGGTTAAACCCCTACTCTTTTCGAAGGACATCCTGGGATTTTTAACGACCACAGAGAGTCGGGACCTCGGTTTAACGTCTCATCCGAAAGACGGCACTCACTGAGCAGTATAGCGTCCCCGTTACTATACTGGGGCATTAGGACCCACACAGACCGCAGGTTGGGCGCCCCCTGCTGGCCTCACTAACACCACTTCCGGCAGCAACCTAGCTTTCCCATGTGGTCTCCCATCCAGGTACTGAACGGGTGCAGCCGGTCATTAGTAATAAAAGGAACAAAAGCTGTTGTCATACTGCCCCCTTGTGATCATACTATCCAAAATCCACAGCCAAACGTACTGTATGTTTTTGCAGCTTCACCACGATTGTACACTGAAGCTCAAAGTATTTAAAATGAGCCTGTGTTGAAGTTGGTAACACTTTCAAAACTTGGCTATGGAACATGTTGTACAAAAGTTACCATTTTCAAGCCTCCAAACTGTCATGCAAATAGAATTAAACAATTCTGTGTGTAGCTGAAAACTGTGTAATACAAACATTATATGGGGTTTGCACTTCAGAACATCTTACCTGACATAAGATATGTACGATATCCATTGGAGGTATTTTGGGATGGTGTCAAAACTGACAAAAAAGCCTGAAAACAGCAGCACCGGGATGGCTGTAACAGGACCCACAAAAGTTGCCACCTGTCAAACAAACGCAAAGCCGCATCAATATCATTATATCCCTCTAATTGTTGATTCACGTGGTATCTATCATACAAGTGCACACTGTAAAATAACCTGTAAAGATGTGGATGCTGCTCCGATAAGTAGCCCAAGTGACTGTGCAACCAGTGACGTGAGCGTCCCTAAAGCCAGGAAAAGAATGAAGCGAACCGCGTCTGAAGGCTGTGATGTCATCCAGTACACTATACTGCAGTACGCCACTGGAAACACAATCTGTCAGGCAAAAAAAAAAAAAGATTTCTTTTGTCAACACAAATAGCTAATCAGATTTCTAATAATCAAATATTTAACCCTAACATTGGCTTGTAGACAAGATCTAGATCAGGGATGTCAAACTCAATTCCTAGAAGACCGCAGCCCTGCACAGTTTAGTTCCAACCAGTGGTGTAAAGAGTACCCGAAAACCATACTTGAGTAAAAGTACAGATACCTTACTGTACAAATTACTTCATTACAAGTCAAAATTGCCAAAAATTTAAAAAAAAAGATCAGCCTCGAAAAATCGATTTTACACATTTAAAATGAACATGTTAAAATCGTAAGTGAAACACGCATGAAAATACCTTTATTTAATTGAAATTGTTTCAAAACTATGTTTCACATTCACTTTACTGTGTTCTTATAATAAAGGAATAGAATTGTGAATAATTCTTCTTAGCAGCAGAACCAAACTATCAACTTTTTTTCAGGAGAAAACCCCATGTTTTATTTGTTCTCTTACCTGAAACGGGACGTCCGCCATTGTTTTGGCTAAGTAGTAAGCCTTCAGACTGTACCAGTAATTTAGATGCTCTCTCAAAAACACACCCATCTCAAGTGGAACTGCAAAAACAGCAAGAACAATTAGATAGAAAGTATTCGTCAGATGCTTGTCTCTAGAAAGAATATGATGTTTGTTTGTTTTTTTCACCAGACTCACAGGTGAGAACGGTGGGCATCAAAGCTGCAAACATGAGGAACAGCATGGAAAAGAACAGGAAGCCGGAGTTGCTGAGGACTTTCTTGGCCTCGTTGCCGATGCCCAGATACAAAAGCCCGATCAGAATCCCGATGCCAAGATGAGACATGATCCGCAAGTGAGTCAACACCTAAACACAGAAGATCATAATGTATTTATGTATAGTATAATTTTTTTCTGAAATAGAAAGCCTTCTTTCTTTCAGTTTGAGTGGAATAATAGCAGTTAATTTTTTTTATTATCATTAATTTTAAGGTGAATACTATTAGTTTCCTTAATTCCCTTTTTTTCTCGATCGGCTACAAATCAAACCACTGTTGTACAATTAGTGGACTCATTCACTCATAGTCTCTTTATCATTCTGGGGTCAACACAGTGGAATGAACCGCCAACTTATCCAGCATATGTTTTACACAGCGAATGCCTTCCAGCTGCAACCCATCACTGGGAAACATCCATACACTCCCATTCACATACATACACTTTGGACAATTTAGCCTACTCAATTCACCTGTACCACATGTCTTTAGACTGTGGGGGAAACCGGAGAAAACCGACACGATTGCGACGATTTTATATTATATTATATTATATTATATCATATTATATTATATTATATTATATTATATTATATTATATTATATTATATTATATTATATTATGTTATATTATATTATATTATATTATATTATATCATATTATGTTATATTATATTATATTATATTATATTATATTATATTATTTTATATTATATAATATTATATTATATTATACTATATTATATTATATTATATTATATTGCATTATATTATATTATGTTCATAATAACATCACAATTTGGCTTGTTTTTAGACTGTTAAATATCTTTAATGTAAATACAGTTTCACATGAATCAATTTCAAATTAACATTATGACAGCATTAATTTTGATTATTATTATTATTATTATTATTATTATTATTATTATGAAAAAAGCCATTGAAGTTCTTATTCTGTACATTATATTATAAGTGGACGTATACTAATATATTTACTACATCACAATATTGATATCCTGAACACTTAAAAATACCACAAATAATGATTTATTATTGACATTTTCAAAGTGCTTTTTAAGTATTTTCAGATAATTGTGTAGTTGTTCATCGCAGGAATAAAAGGCCGACTTTATTTTCAAAACATTAACATTTTCACATGAATCTGGCCTACAAAGCCTGAAGTCGTCCAGCAGGTGTCAGTGTTGTTTACCGAATCTCTCATGATGCTGAGGAAAGTTCTCTTGAAGAGGATGCAGAACTGCGTCAAACAGCTGGCAGAGAAGCTGTGGCATCCCTCTGAAGATGAAGAGTCCTGCAGGAAAAACAGCCTTCATTACTGTCTGCTTGTTGTTTAATTCTCTGTAAAATGGCGTTTCTGTATACACACCTCATCGGATGGTCTATGCCACAGGAATGGATTGTGGACTCCGTTGCCATTCATTTCAGTTTTGTAGTCTTTCTCGCACTTGTGCTCCTGCACAGCTTTCACCAGACGAGCTGTCTGATCACCGTATTCACCAGACGCCACCTCCATTACTGACAACACAACACAAACACACACTGAGTCTGAGAGAACTCACATTTTCATGTTTTTTGTTAAATATAATTATATAATTATAAATAAATAAAATGTTTTCAAAATTAATATTAGTAGTAGTAGCAGTAGTAGTAGTAGTAGTAGTAGTAGTAGTAGTAGTAGTAGCAGTATTATAACAATAACAACAATTATAAGTGTTGTTGTAATTATTATTAGTAGTAGCAGTATTATAACAACAACAACAACAATAATAATTGTTGTTATTATTATTATTATCATCATTATTATCATCATTAAAGCACACTGATTATATTACATTATTTAATAAGTAGCTAAAAACAATATTTAACAATGCATAATTATAAAAAATATTATTATTATTATTGTTATAATGATGATGATGCTGATAATAATAATAATAATAATAATAATAATAATATTTAAAAAAAGAACAACAATAAGGCCAATAATATGTATTAAAGCTATTTATATTATTATTTTCATTATTAAAATACAGATTATATTTTATTAAATTATTTAATAAGTAGCTGAAAAAATATTTTATTATTGTATAATTATTCATTTATATTTGTAATTATTGTTATTACTATTATTACTATTAAAACAACAACAATGCTTATAGCAATAACACAAATAATTATAATTATAATAATACTCATTATTATTTTTTATTGAATAATTATTAATTAAGATTGTGAAATGATTGCGGAATGACTGCAACGTCACAAAAATAAATTCATTTTAAAATAGAATAAAAATAAAAAAGGTATTTTTAAAAACTACTGTATTTTAATCAACTAAATCCAGAGACTTACAACAAAAAAAGCATCTTAAAATCATATCAAAATCATTACTTTCCTGTAAAATTTGTATTATTTTTCTAATATTTCTCAAATGCTGATTGAGTGAGCGAAATAGTTTTTCAACACATTTTTAACACAATAGTTTAAGTAACTAATTTGTATTGTTTTTGCCATGATGACACACATAATATTTGACTAGCTGTTTTGCAAGATACTAGTACTCAGCTTAAAGTGCGATTTAAAGGGGCAAATTCAATTACCAGGTTAATAAAGTTAACTAGGCAAGTTAAGTTAATTAGGCAAGTTAGTAAATAACAGTAGTTTGTTCTGTAGACAACAGAAGAAAAAAAAAACGTAAGCAGGCTTATATTGTTAACCTTAACAGGTTTTACTTCTAGAAAAGAAAAGTATAATAGAAAAATATCCTTGCTCTGTTAGGGGCTGATCACACCGAATGCGTTTTTTGCTGACAATCCCAGCCTAGCCAAGCTGGGAGTCCAGCCAAAACCAGCTATATCCAGCTTAAACCAGGCTGGTCAAGCTGGTTTTAGCTGGATTTGGCTGGTAATTTTCCAGCCTGACCAGCTAAGACCAGGCTGGAAATGGCTGGAAACCAGCCTGAAAGTGGCCAAAACCCCTCTAAAACCAGCCTGGTTGACCAGCTAAAACCAGCCAACCAGCCTAGGCTGGATTAAGCTGGATTTTTCAGCAGGGAGGTCAAGACAGAACAAGATGTGAGGCGACAACACAGTTGTTGTCGTCATCTCTAGTTGTTTGGTGTCAGCTTGGTGTATCCTGGCCTTTCAGCTGTATGTTGGTGTAGTGAGGGTGATTTAGTGTTTTTCTTACTGAAGTCTGCAGGGTTGTGATATGTGGGACAGCTGAGTCCCAGATCTCGCAGATACGGGATTAAACTTGACACTTTTCCTCTGTAAATACACTGGCCTTGACTGAGGACATAAAGCTGGAACAAAAAAAGTCACAACAGACATTCTTCAGCATAGTGGTGTGAATTAAAGACATAATATGTACATTTTTTTCATTCAAATATCCAAAAACTACTGGAACAGTGTTTTATATTTTGCTGACTTGCATAGTTTTGTTATCCCAAATGTTTAGAAGAATGTACAGATACATGAAAATAAGCCATTTCACTTGTGAGAACATGTGCTGTGTGTTCATGCTAATGACGTCAAACACACTTAATATCAGGTTTTGTTTTGTTTAAAGCAGGGGTTCTCAACTGGTTTGGCCATGGGACCCACATTTTTACATGGTCTTCAACCCGCGGCCCAAATTTTAAGGAACTTTAATGTAATTTTAGGAATTATAATTAATTTGTATTTGCTTGTTAACATACACAAGTAGTGACAATAGAACATAAATCAGAAGAACATCACCAAGACTTACAAATAAACAATATTTATCACTGTCATTTAACAAAATGTCTCAAATTATATAAATATTACAAAGTAAAAACGACAAATGTTTGGTTTCTAAAAGTGCTCTTGTGAGAGCACATCACCACATACGACACACTGAAGTTTTAAGCCTTGTTTGTCATCAATATATGTAAATCCATACTTAACATATTCGGGGTTGTACTTGCGCTTCGACATATTTGTTGTTACAATCAAATGAAATTTCACATGTCAAACAGTACAGTTGTCACTTGCGCATTTCAAAATAAAAGTCTTATACAAGCAAAATAAGTTCAAAACTAAACATTTGTTGTTTTTTTTTGACCACACACTCTGCGACCCACTGAAAATGTCCCCGCGACCCAGTTGAGAAACACTGGTTTAAAGGGCTCCTATATTTTCCAATTTTCAAGATGTAATAATGGAATACTTTAGCTCATTCAACAACATGATTTCTGTAGCCTATACGCTAATTTTAAGCGGCCACCATTTTAAAGAACCAAAGCGAGGCTGCGGTGGGAAGAAACCCGGAAGTATAGGAGCAGCACTGTAAACATTGCAGTAACATGCTGTGGACTACAAACCTCCAGCTGTTGCCGAGATTTTAAAATGCAGAAATGGTGTAAACATCACTTTAATATTATACAGTAAGTTTAATTTAAACACTTTTTTTTTTAAAGCAAATTAGGCGTCAAACAACATTACAATCTCTGTAGGAGTAAGATGCTCAAGTGTCCTCTTAGGCTTCAGTTCATGGCACCAGTTAAACACCGTGGGGACGCTTTCCTGCTTCAGTCTATGTAACCCGGTGAGTGATAAAACACTGCAGTCCTCTGTAGCACATCCTCGTGTTGTCTGTAATAGTGTTGTCCTGGTACTGAGGTTTTAAAACCGGTTAACATTGAAGCGCCGCCGAGCGCAGATGACTTGACTGATCTTCACGGCTGCTTCGCACTTCAATCTACGAGTATCTGTGTTTGCACTCAGATTACCGCTCTTCACCCAGTGCAAACACAGATACACAGAGACTGGAGCGCGAAGCAGCCGTGAAGATGTCGAGTCATCAAGCAGATCGCTCCGCTCGACTGTTTGTGCACAGTAAACAGCAGTTGGTGAACTGATGACCTTCTCGGCCAATCACAAGCATTTCTGTTGAGCACGTGAACACAATAGCAAATCAGTGCTGTTTTAAGAAAGCAATCAACAGTGCCTTAAATGTTAGCGCGAAAATGGCAGTTTTTCTTTTAATTCAGTATCGTGACAAGTCTAATATAGTGAAAGAATCAGTTTATTAACTAGAGTTTAATAAATGGCATCTAAAATGTGTGTTTGGGAAAGAAAACGTTAGCTAACTAGTGCCATTTCCCTTAACTTAGCTGAAAAGGAGCTCTGATATTCCTTTTTATTTTCACCATTCATTCAGAACGAACCTTGAGGTCACTCGGAAGGCGGTGGAATAATACATTTGTGTCACTTTATCTTCACTGCTAAGATATACAGCCAAGTGCACAACGTTCCTATGCAACTCCCAACGATACTTCTGTGTTTCTTCCAACCACAGCCTCGACTTCGCTTTTAAAAATGGAGGCCGCGTGAAATCAATCTATAGGATGTAATAAAGATCACAGCACCAATGAATCCACACTCATCAAATTACGCCTTTGTTTGTTGGCAACATGCGCCCTCTAGTGGAGAAAATTTACATTTACACACTTCAAACACAACTATCACCTTGTCGAAGAGCTCGAAGACTTTAGCGCTGGGCTGGTGTATTGTGCAGATGACGGTTCTTCCACCCTGAGCGAGAGCCTTCATCAGAGACACCACCTGAAAGCAGGAGGACGAGTCCAGGCCACTTCATGAGGAAAAAAAAGAAGAAAAGCATCACTACACTGGTAAAAAGAAAACGTTTCAAACTGGCTTACATCAACCATTCTTCTATAAAACCTCGTGTATTAGAACTTTGCATTCTAAGGCCTCTTCACACTGATGCTGTATGTCCATTGCTGAGGACAATTAGAGGCTGTAGCTTTAATTGTAAAATATGAAAATGTTTATTAGAAACACCTTAGATCATCTTAAAGGGACAGCTCACCAAAAAATTATAATTCTGTCATCATTTAAATCCCTTTTTTTCTGTTGGACACAAAAGAAGATATTCTGAAAAATGTTGCAACCACTAACATTCATAGTACTTGTTTATCTCACTATACAAGTCAATGGTTACAGCCATTCAAACATTTTTCAAAATATCTTTCAAAACATCTTCATAAAAGTTTGGAACCACTTGGGGGAGAGTAAATAGTGAGCAAAGTTAAATTTTTGGGTGAACTATCCCTTTAATCCTGTTTAGCCCGATTAGCCAATAAAGGCGTACCTAATAAAGTGCAATGAAGCAGTGTGTTCAAAACACCACGACATCATTGCAGATGCTGGCACGCAAGCTGCTGATTGGCTACCTTGCTAACGCTGAGGGAATTGCTATTCCTTCGAGCCATAAAAGTGTCCTACTTACCCAAACACAACCGTGTGACATCATCATATGATAATGCCACGGCTCTAATGTAACCCGTAAAACTTCCATGAAGGAGAATGTGTTTATCCCTGGGTAAATATGGCAGTCATTTTAATGTTCTACACTGGAAAAGTATCTGTTAATTAACGTTTTCCATATTTAGTGATTCACAAGTGTTTTCCATTTATTTATGGTTGTGAATTGCATTATGGGATGTTGATCTCTGCTCTGTCAACGTTTGATGTTGAAAATTCAACTCTACAGTTTAACAAAATGACTTTTATTGACATTTTAGTAGTTTGAAATAATATAATGAGACATAATAATAATAATATATAGGCGCAGTGGGTAGCACGTTCGCCTCACGGCAAGAAGGTCGCTGGTTCGATCCTCGGCTCAGTTGGCGTTTCTGTGTGGAGTTTGCATGTTCTCCCTGCGTTCGCGTGGGTTTCGTCCAGGTGCTCCGGTTTCCCCCACAGTCCAAAGACATGTGGTACAGGTGAATTGTGTAGGCTAAATTGTCCGTAGTGTATGAGTGTGTGTGTATGGTTCCCAGAAATGGGTTGCGGCTGGAAGTAAAAACTTGCTGGATAAGTTGGCGGTTCATTCCGCTGTGGCGACCCCGGATTAATAAAGGGACTAAGCTGACAAGAAAATGAAATGAAATTAAATAATATATAGAGAATTAAGTCTGTAAAAAATACAGAAAGTGTACTGTCAGTTTATTACAAGGTTTTGTAGTGTAATATACAACATAAACCCAGACAATACATCACTTAAACTATTAAAAACATTAATAAAAGTCACTTTTTTTTTTTACTTTTCAAGCTTAAAAGTTGTTGGAAGAAAGATCAAGCTCCCATAATGCAATTCAAAAGCATAAATAAATAGGTTAAACATAAAAACATGAATCATAAAATACATAATCTTGCTAATTTATGGACATTGCAGGTTATGTGTTCATTTAACACCTGACAGTATTGTAAATCAATCTCCTCATGTGGATTAATAAATCTTACCTTACCTATTATATAAATGGGATTTACATTTTATGCAAAATAATTTAAGCTAGTTGGCGCTCTCCAGTGAATCTGAAATGCGTTTTTGTTTTTAGAAGGAAATCCCTAGAGAGAGAGGAAAAGCCTAATAGGGTCTCTAGAGACCAGGTCTCAACCGTCCAATAAAACCCCCACTGACAAAGCCTGTACTGTAAATGAATTTGCAATTAAACTGCAACGAGAACATAACTGCTTTCACAAGAGATATATTTGGCTCGAGAAGGTCATTTAGAGCATCAGATCTGATAGTCCGCCTTGTGGAAATGTGTTTCATGGTCATTAGTCAGCACACTGCAAAAAATTAATTAAGTTAATTAATTAAGTTAGTTAAAATTAATTTCCTTATTTATTTTTCAGGTTTGCTTGTTACACTGTAAACCGTGAGCTCAGATGGTTTACTCACCTGGTGGGCTCATCAAAGAACATGACAGGCGGGTTGTTGACCAGCTCCAGGGCGATGGCCAAACGCTTCCTCTGGCCTCCAGAGAGGTGCGATGTGCGTGTTTTGGCACATTCCAATAAGCCAAGAGCCGTCAAGATTTCCCGAACCTACAACAGCAACAGTATTATCAAACACTGGAATAAGACACTACTTTTGGGTCAATACTTTTATGTTTTTTTATGTTTAGATGCATGGGGGAAGTTTTGGCCTAATGGTTAGAGATTCAGAGCTCTATTTTAACGATCTAGGTGCAAAGTCTAAAGCGAATGGCACAAAAGGGCATGTCTAAATTTATTTTTGCTATTTTAAGGCCAGAAAAATACGTTTTGCGCCCCAGCACATGGTTTAACAGGGTTGTGCTTATTCTCTTAATGAGTTATGGGTGTGTTTTGAGCATAACATGCATTAAACCAATCAGAGTCTCATCTCACATTTCCTTTAAGAGTCAGTTGCATTGCTCCATGGTGCATTTGCTATTTACATGGAGGTGGTATTCCGGGAGAAATCCATTAGCCTACATAAATGATTAAAAGATTTGCTTCAAAACTATTTCTAAATTCAGTTCTAATTTCCAGCAAACGAATAAATGAAAATAATAACGAAGTGTGGTCAAAAACTGAGTTATATCCAAACACACGTCCAATTCTTATGCTCAATATGGAGATGCATACATCTCAAAAACCTGGCAGGTGGACAAATCTAAACTTGTTTTTAATAAAACAAATATAAATATGCATAGAATAAATAATACTGCTAATAATAATAATAACATTATACAAATGCAAACTGTCATGAATGAACTGAAAAAGCTCCCCGAGGTGAAGGCGGCAGTGGTTTTTATGATTATGTAGAAAATTCTTAATTTTGTAACATTTAATTTTTTTTATCTGTAAAGATATTTGTGTATTGCTGTACATCCTGTGCTTATTAAGCAATGTGTAAGCGTTTGGACCTGCATAGGTGCATAACTAACACACTCTGCTCTGGACTTTGGAGCAGCTTTTAGTTGGTCAACGGCACAGTCTATTTCAGTTCCACAAAATAGCAACGCACCAAATATGCGCCTTAACACACCTCCTTTTCAGATCAGCACACCCATGAGTCCACAAAGTGGCACAAATGAATTTGCTATTTAGACAGCGCAAAACATGAACATTAGGGTTGCGCTGGTCTGAAAATAGCAACAAATCGCTCCATACACATCTTGCGCCAGGTGTATAATAGGGCCCTCAGACTTAAAACCCAAAGAATTGAAAAGTGAAAAGTGTCAATTTTCAATTGACTTATCTCAGAATTACATTTCAGGCATTTTTTGACTACATTAAGTACGTTTGAGTACATTCCAGTCATAAATTATTCTTAAACTTTTTAAACCAATAACAGAGATGACATTTTCCAACATTTTATGCTTTATCTCACAGTGCTAACTTTAAACCACACACCACATGGCATTTCTAAAACTGAATTGTGTTTTCTTATTATTATTGTTCTCAAAAAATTTAAATAATCCTTACAGTTCTTTTCTAACCCTAACAGAAACAGAATTGACAGTAACACAGGTGACATTTCCCAAAATTTCATGCTTTATTTCACGATGCTAACCAGACACCACATGGCATGTCTACATGACATAAGGGCACCTCTGACTGACCTTTAGCACAAAGGTGAGGCTGTACATACATAAAACCATGCGCAAAACTTCCCACGGCTCTCACTTACCATTTCACGTCTGCCTTCATCCTTTTCCTGGAGTTTGAGATTAGCTGATACCTGAGCAGGGAGAGTAAGCGATTTAGAGCATGATGTGCATTAGCTACTGCAGCTAACGCTAACAGAGGGATTTGCACAAACTCAACAAAGCAACAAACAATTGAGTCATACTCTAGCGAAGCTAGCAGTGAGAGCTTATCACCTGCTTTGCTGTTTGTCAATTTACATTATATTTAGCATGCTTGGTGACTTTTCCCATTCATTTTCATTCATTTTTTAGCAAAAGAAAACAACTTATGCTGCTTGATGTTGTAAACTGTCATTTCATATCATATTGTTTAAATATATTTGATTGCCGGTTGACTAATAAGAGGCAAAGAATAAGGAATAAGATGCCACAAAAAATACCCAAGCGATAGTCAAAATGTGAACCGACTACTGTAGTAATTTATAGTAAATATAGTGTTTTTGAACCACACTAGAAGACACCCTGTATATTACAGTATGCTGCAGTGTTGTAAATAATATAATATATACAGTTTAATACACATGTATACACTACACTCTCAGAAATAAAGGTACACATGCTGTCACTAGGATGGTACCTTTATTAAAAGGTACATGTTTGTACTTAAAGGGTACATATTGGTACCTTAAAAGTATATATTAGTACCTAAAAAATTTAAGAGGAACACTTTTGTACTTTTTAGGTACTGATATGCACCCTTGAGGTATTAATATGGACCTTTTCGGTACAAATTTGTACATTTTGAAAAGGTACCACCCCAGTGACAGCTCGCATACTTTTATTTCTGAAAGCGTAGTGTATACTATACAAGTGTATTATACTGTATATGTTATATTATTTACAACACTGCCGCATACTGTAATATACAGGTTGTCTTTAAAAGTCTTAACATGTCTTAAATCTCAAAATCTAAATTTGAGGCCTTAAAAAGTCTTAGATTTAAGACCTACAACACAATACTTCAAGATTTTTTTTTTTAAACAGGTCTCAATTTTCCTTTACTCGTAAATTGCTACCCAATCTGACCAAAACCCATACAATCATCAACAATCCATCTCAATAAAACTCTAAACTTTTTATTTAAAAAGGTCATTTTTTTGGTTTAATCATTTCCCTAGAATGACATTTCTTTAAAAGTGTTCCATGCATGTAGATTTAGTTTATTATAGTTTTTAAAACTTTTAAAACATTTCTTAATTATTATTTATATTATTATATTATAATTTATTTTATTTTAAAGAGTGTTGGAAAAAAGTGTATGGATACAAATAGAGCTTGCTTGTTTTTACACAATATTACAATTATTTTGCTATGAAATAAAATCTAAAATATGTAATTTTTAAATTATTTTTGTAGTATTAAATGTATTATATTACAATATATAAATTTTATTTTATAAAAAATCTTTTCCGTCTGGGGCATTTGAAAAATTCCTTAGCCTTTAGCCCTTTATGATTCTAAAATTTCATTCATAATGGTCTTAAAAATGTCTTGAATTTAACTTTGTGTAACCAGCAGAAACCCTTAATATGGAGAACTGATAAACTGTAATAAATACTGTCGAATACTTTAGCTTTTACTACAGTAAACAGTGGTTTATTGTAGTATACAGTTGAAGTCAGAATTATTAGCCCCTGAATTATTAGACCGCTTGTTTATTTTTTCCCCAATTTCTGTTTAACGCAGAGCAGATTTCTTCAGCACATTTCTAAACATAATAGTTTTAGTAACTTCTGGTAACTGATTTATTTTATCTTTGCCATGATGACAGTAAATAATATTTGACTAGATATTTTTTAAGACACTTCTATACAGCTTAAAGTGACATTTAAAGTTAGTTAGGGTAATTTGGCAAGTTATTGTGTAACGATGGTTTATTCTGTAGACTATGGAGGAAAAAAAATAGCTTAAAGGGGCTAATAAAGTTGTCAGTTATAAAAATGTATAACTGCTTTTATTCTAGCCAAAATAAATCAAATAATATTTTTTCTAGAAGACAAAATATTATCAGAAATACTGTGTAAATTTTCTTGCTCTGTTAAACATCATTTGGAAAATATTTTAAAAAGAAGAAAAACATTTGAAGGAGGCTAATAATTCTGACTTTAACTTTATATGCCATAGCAACAGTAGAATCACCACAACAGATTAGTTCTTTAAGTAGTTTACTATAGTATTGTTTAAAAACACTATAGTGTTTGTCATAAATAACTATAGTTGTTGTTGTTTTCATTTGCTAAACAATGCAACAAAAAGAAATGATGTGGAAAAATATACAGTACTGTGCAAAAGTCTTAGGCCCCCACTTACATTTGTTGTTTAAGTGAGGGTATAATGACATTAAATATTACTTCTCATTCTCTTGTTTAAAATACAACCAGAAAATACAGATTCTAGTTAGATTTTTTTAAGCATGCATTCAAATATTCAGAGATCGGTTGCTGGCCTCCTTCACTCCTTCATATGTGGAAATAAATCAGATATAAATCAGATATGTGACAATGCGACTGTCATGTAAACAGGCAGATCAGATTTAATGAGGCATTCCGTTTTGTACATCATTAAACCTGTGACAATGTGGTACTTCTCTGAGGTTTAATGACATAGAAAGAAGAGCGTGTGTGGAGACACTGATACGGTAAACAACAACAGAGGAAACATGGAGGAGTAAAGAGGTCAGTCGCCACAATTTGCTCCCACCAGACCTGAGATCTCTCTCATACCCACAAGTTCCTCTGAATAGTGGAAAACACCATATATAAACCACGGGCGCAAGCTGCGATGATGTCCCTTTCCCTCCTCTTCAGCCACCATCTCAAAATCATATTAAAGTTGGGCTAACTTCGGATATTTCGCTGAGCTAAAAGCAAGACAACTTCTTTCATCGTGGTTAGTGTGGCGCAGATGCTAGAACCCTCCTTTATGCATGCGCAACATCGTAAATTGTATGGCAAGTGTACACGCATGAATTGGATAAGGGTCACAATTAAAAGAATGTGTAAACAGACAGAAAAAAAAAATAGGCAACAATTTAGGTATCAAGACCTGACAGTGTAAACGGGGCCAAAGTTTCTGTCTGGGGCTGCGTCCGAAACCGCATACTTCCATACTATATAGTATGCTAAAATCAGTATGCGAGCCGAGTAGTATGTCCGAATTCATAGAATTCGAAAATCAGTATGCGAGAAGTACCCGAGATTCTGGAGTGCGCATCCCATGCACGCTGCTCTATCCCATAATGCCCCACTAGAGAATTCATAAGTGGAAGTGAGGTGACGCAACTGACGCAGGTAGGTCACGTGATTATGACAAAATGGCGGATGTAGTACGTCCGAACTTCATTCATACTTTTCACATTCATACTGTATAGAACGTACTTTTCTAACGGCCGAGTAGTACGTTTAAATTCAAATGCAGTACCTACTGAGTAGTAGGCGGTTTCGGACGCAGCCTTGGTTTAATCTACAATATTGCCAGAGGTGTTGTCAGTATTGCCTGAACTAAAGGGATTGTGAATACCGCATTAATTAGTCATGTGATTCCTACTAGAAAGCACCTAATTTGTAATAGATTTATTTTTCAGCATGATAATGATCCCAAACACTCGGCTAATGTAATGAAATCATATTTGATGTGAAAAACTGATGAAACAAAGACAGTCATGAAATGGCCTCCACAGAGTCCAGACCTCTTTATTATATACTTTGTGTATACTGTAGGCGATATTATAGGCAATATGAGATTCACCTGTAGAGAAAAGGAAAGATAGAACAGGCTGAATGTAAGGAAGAACTGTCTGAAATGTTGAAAGATGCTTGATAATAATTAGCACATCATTTCAGAAAAGACTTAACAAAAAAGTTCAAGCTGTTGGGTCATGCTAAAGAGGTCATGTTAAACAGACTTTTGATTCCATAAGTAATTTTGTTCTGAATATTGTGTACATATTTCCCATACTGGCGAGGCAGTGGCGCAGTAGGTAGTGCTGTCGCCTCACAGCAAGAAGGTCGCTGGTTCAAACCTCGACTCAGTTGGCGTTTCTGTGTGGAGTTTGCATGTTCTCCCTGCCTTCGCGTGGGTTTCCTCCGGGTGCTCTGGTTTCCCCCACAGTCCAAAGACATGCGGTACAGGTGAACTGGGTAGGCTAAATTGTCCGTAGTGTATGAGTGTGTGTGTGTGTGAATGTGTGTGTGGATGTTTCCCAGAGATGGGTTGCGGCTGGAAGGGCATCCGCTGCGTAAAAACTTGCTGGATAAGTTGGCGGTTCATTCCGCTGTGGCGAACCCGGATTAATAAAGAGACTAAGCCGACAAGAAAATGAATGAATGAATATTTCCCATACTTTCTGTTTATATATTAAAGGTAGGTATAGTTCACCCAAAAGTAACGACCCTGCACTTAGCCTCCAAAAGCTGGTGGTGGAAAATACTTTTGCACAGTACTGTATATATTGAAAAAAAAAGAAGTCAAATTTAAACGAAGCACTAAAATGTTTGATATTATATAACTTGGACAAAAAACCTGGAATAGACCTTTTAAAATTCTTTGGTATTTCATAAATCGATATTTATATCAGTGTCAACAGTGTCAACTCACCATCATGGCTTCCTGCACAGTGAGGTGCGGGAGGAGCATGTCATCCTGCATGATGTAGCAGGACACTTTCCTGAAAGAGCGCAGATCTCTTGGATGCCCGTTAATCAGGATCTCCCCCTTCATGCCGGTTTCCCTACATGATAAAGCACAAATGTAATTTGATTTTGTAAGAAATTGCGCTGTTTTGTAAGCACTTGAGCTGTTTTGATTCAGTGTCAAGGCTAAGACACCATTGCTCTGTAAGGTTCAAATACAGTTGAAACAAGAAGTTTACATACACTGTAAAGGGATTATCAAACGTTTTTCTGTTCTGCTAAATAGCAGAATAATGAGAGAGAGATATGTTTTTGAGAAATTGTTATAACTTTTCTTGAAAGTCAAGTTTACATACAATAAGATTCTTATGCCTCTGAAAAAGCTCAGATGATGATGTCAAGGGTTTGGAAGTTTCTGATTGGCTAATTGACAACATTTGAGTTAATTGGAGCCACAACTGTAGAAAAGTATTTAAGGCAAACCTCAAACACACTTCTTCCTTGTGTGACAACATGGGGAAATCAACAAGTCAGAATGAACAAAAAAGCCAGATTACAATTTGCTAAATTACACTGGGAAAAAGAATAATTTTTGGAGACATGTCCTGTGGTCTGATGAAATTGAACTGTTTGGCCATAATTACCAGTGTTGCATTTGGAGGACAAAGGGGAAAGTGTCATGCTGGGGAAAGCATCATGTTGTGGGGCTATTTTGCTGCAGGAGGGACTGGTCCACTTTACAGCATAGATGAAGAATCATGAATCATCATGAAGAAAGAACATTATGTAGAAATACTGAAGCGACATCTCAAGACATCAGCCAGAAAATTAAAACTTGGCCACAAATGAGTCTTCCAAACATACTGCCAAAGTAGTTAAAATGTGCTTTAAGGACAACAGAGTGAATGTTTTGGAGTGGCCATCACAAAGCCCTGATCTCAATCCTTTCAAAATCAAAAATTTGTGGGCAGAGTTGAAGCTTGCGCGAGCAAGACAGCCAACAAATCTGACTAAGTTACAACAATTCTGTCAGGAGGAATGGGTCAAAATTCCTGTAAACTATTGTGAGAATCTTGTGGCAGGATACCCAAAACACTGACCAAAGTTTTACAGTTTAACAGCAAAGCTAAAAAATACCAAGGAAATGTGTGTAAACTTTTGACTGTCTAAAAATTAATTTAAAATTCTCAAAAATTCTCTCATTATTCTGGCATTTAGCAAATGTAAATCATTTAGGTAATCCTAACGGACCTAAAATAGTAAACGATTAGTATGATTTACCTTCAGACATTTTTTTAGAAAATGGTTACGTTCCTTTTTTAGAGTGTATGTAAACTTCTGTTTTCAATATGTAAATGTAATTTCCATGATTTTTCCAAAACCTTGTGGGTTTTTCTTTACTTTTCCAGGCCTGGATAATGCCATGTCAAAATTCCATGACTTTTCCAGGTTTTCCATGAACCCTGGCACTTTCTAAATGCATTTAGAAACAGTTGAGTTCCCCCTCCCCTTCCTCCACTTATTCTGGAGGCCCCCTTATTCTGGAATCTGATGTATGTCTCTATAGTGTTTAAATGTAAAAACAAATTATTTAGAATCAGTCAAAATGCTGTGTTTATTTGCAGTAGCTTTGTACAAAAAAAAAAAAAAAAAAAAAAAAAAAAACATGTCCCATCTCTACTCTAACAACCAGCTAGGTTTCCATTACTCATCAAAATATAGACCATATGTTCTAGATGCTTGGTCTAGATAAATACAGTCATACTGACCTGTAACCTGCTAGAATGTTCATTAGTGTAGATTTCCCAGCCCCAGAGGGTCCCATGATGGCCACCAAAGCTCCACCGGTGAAGTTCCCAGAGATCCCTTTCAGAAGGGTCTTGTAACCTGACACAAGAGAGAAAGAGTCGGCCCCTGTGAGAAACCTTACAACACCACAATGAGCTGTTCCTCCCAATCATATAATGTACCTGCCAGAATATCCTGCTTACATAATGCTCGGTCTGTGATCGCAGATGAAAAGGCCTTTTTGTTTGTTCACCTTTGGGTTTCTGAAATTTTCCAGGTGAGCGAATCTGTTTGCTGCTGTGCGTATCTTTGAAAACACCCCATTCTAACCTTCATCTCACCTGTACTTTTTCAGTTCCAACTTTTAAAGTACTGATGCCATAACACCTACTCCAATAGCTGCCCATTTTCTTTTGTCAACATGTATAATGCATTCTTCATCACATTACGAAAGCTTTACGTGTGGATTAGTCTGCATTTAACACTTCTATCTTGGTTCTTGACTATCAGGGGCGCTAACTTCAAAATGTTAACTTTAAAACTTAAACATTAACTTAAAAGTTTGATTAGTTAATTTAGTTTTTGTTGGTATAGTGAAGCCAGATAAGAAAGTTTGAAGCAGTCAACCAAATTAACTAGTAAGTTTAAAAGCTTGAAATTGAAGAGCCAGCACAGTCGCCTCACAGCAAGAAGGTCTCTGGTTCAAGTCCAGGCTGGGCCAGTTGGCGTTTCTGTGTGGAGTTTGCATGTTCTCCCCGTGTTACCGTGGGTTCCCTCTGGGTGCTCTGGTTTCCCCCACAGTCCAAAGACATGCGCTATTACTGGCATGTTCTAATTTGAATGTACCAGTTTCTGTACTGAAAAGAGATCATCTAGAGATGTGGTATTTTATGTGCTGCTAGCATTTCAAAAATGTTTAGCATGCAAGTAGCATGTTTTGAAATTTTGCTATCATGTTACAACACAAGAATCCCTGCTAAAAAATCCAGTCTAAACCAGCCTAGGTTGGTTGGCTGGTTTTAGCTGGTCGACCAGGCTGGTTTTAGAGGGGTTTTGGCCACTTCCAGGCTGGTTTCCAGCCATTTCCAGCCTGGTCTTAGCTGGTCAGGCTGGGAGATGACCAGCTAAAACCAGCTTGACCAGCCTAGCCAAGCTGGGAGTCCAGCCAAAACCAGCTATATCCAGCTTAAACCAGGCTGGCCAAGCTGGTTTTAGCTGGAATTGGCTGGTCATTTTCCAGCCTGACCAGCTAAGACCAGGCTGGAAATAGCTGGAAACCAGCCTGGAAATGGCCAAAACCCCTCTAAAACCAGCCTGGTCGACCAGCTAAAACCAGCCAACCAGCCTAGGCTGGTTTAAGCTGGATTTTTCAGCAGGGATGTAATTCAGCTAACATGCTTTAGCATACTGGTAGCGTGTTACTAGCATGTTTAGAATGCTGACAGAATATTAAACATGTTGCAAGTCATCGCTAGCATATTTCCAGCTCAATGTAACATGGCCTAGAGCTTTGCTAATATATTTTAACACATTGCTAGCACGTTCCATCTAGAACGTTCCGTTTCTGTACTGAAAAGAGAACATCCACTGAATGCCCGACTGTAACCTGTTATTTATCCAGTAGCTGAGATGCTAATCCAGTTGATTGCAGTGGCTGCCAGCTTAATTGGATTGTGCTTACAATCCGTCAGAGCAATACACAAATACCTCTGACCTTCTCTGTCCTCTTTTAGCGCAGGATCCCAGGGCTTCTCCCGCTCATTGTGCACTATAGTAACCCCATAGACAGAAGAGTGAATTACATTATTTCTGAAGTGGAAAGGTGCGTCTCTAGGCGAAGCCAACGGGTTAGCAAATAAAGCCGGCATGATTTTGCTTAGTGCACCTGATGTGCTGCATGTCAACAGAGGAGAGAGCTATTCCTGGCCACGAAGGACTCAGGGGTTACTCTGAGTCATGATCAAGTTTAAATGAGGAAGAACTTGAAACCGAACTACTACAGAGCCACATGCTAAATTAGCATTTTTATCTCAGCACATTGTTTTGTTTATGATTACACATTATTTTCAATTGTCCTTAATTATTAATTTAAATAATTAATCACATGTACTCACTAAAAAGTGTGGCTAGAATGTAGGTTAGGCTAAGTTGCATGTAATTATGCCTAATAATTGGAAGTACTATAGAAATAACATGGGATGCAGAAAGTATTACCTATTTCTTTTGCATCACAGTTTGGTAATTATTAAAAATTTTACTAGTTAACGCTAATGTATTTATTAACATGAACAAACAATGAACAATACATTTATTACAGTATTTATTCATCTTTGTAGACATTAGTTAATGAACAAAAAATGTTTATTTTAAGCTCATGTTATCTAATTTTAACAAGCATAAATTTAGATTTTAATAATACCCTCATAAATGTTAAACTATGATTAATGATTATGATCAATTGCAGTACAAGTATTGTCCATTATTAGTTAACCTTGTTGTAAAGTTTGACCCTTTTTTATTATTCTTTGGTAAAAAATAGTCTTTTTTATGCCAGTTGCACTGGATTTAATCAGATGATGAATATTATTGTATGAATGCCTCAACAACATTCAAATTCCTTAGAAAAAAACAAATTAATTGTAGTTAACAAAGTCAAATGTTCCTACAAATCATTGCCTTGCATTTATGCTTGGTGATAATTTCAGTAACTATAACACTAAAGCCTCTATAAGTTTGGGATCACATTTCATATTTATTTAATGCTCAGCATAGTCATGCCTAGAAGCATAAATAGAACCATAACCAAAGAAATAATGAGTAAATTCAATAAAACGGCAAATAACATAAATTAAACATGAACTATTTAAGTAAAAAGAAATCAATATCTGAAATAGCGTTCCTGAAATAAGATTTCAAGCCATTTTCTTTCACTCCAATACACAATTTCATTCTGTTTTATTATTATTATTATTTTATATATATATATATATATATATATATATATATATATATATATATATATATATATATATATATATATTTATTTATTTATTTATTTTTTGACAGTTTAAAGTACTGTCACTTTAAATCAGGGGTCACCAATCTCTGTCCTGGAGGTCCGGTGCCCTGCAGGGTTTAGCTCCAACTTGCTTCAACACACCTGCCTGGATGTTTCAAGTATACCTAATAAGACCTTAATTAGCTTGTTCAGGTGTCTTTGATTAGGGTTGGAGCTAAGATCTGCAGGACACCGGCCCTCCAGGAACAAGTTTGGGGAACACTGCTTTAAATGATGAAACTCTTTAAAGCAGGGGTCACCAATCCTGGTCCTGGAGGGCCAGTGTCCCTGCATGGTTTAGTTCCATCTTGCCTCAACACACCTGCCTGGATGTTTCAAGTATACCCAGTAAGACCTTGATTAGCTTGTTCAGGTGTGTTTGATTAGGGTTGGAGCTAAAATCTGCAGGACACCGGACCTCCAGGAACAAGTTTGGTGACCCCTGCTTTAAAGTCATGTGGATCATGATTGGCTGCCATTGGCTATGTTTACATGGACATATTTTTGGTTCGGTCAGAATGCAATCATTGGTTAGATGTGCGTAATTACCTATATGGCAGATTTTATACATGTTGATTTTATGGCATGGTCAACATTGAGTCTTGGAAGTAAAACTTCCAAGACTTGGAAGTAAGAGTAAGGGATCATTTGATACAGTAAAGTAGTTTTTTCCTAATATTTGTGTATAAATTCACAATAAATCATGAAAACCTACTTCTCATGAAAGTTCTTATCAAATATTGAATGTGAAAAGTGAATAAAAACAAACATTATTAAATATCTTATTATCTTTTTAAATAATACGTTCATTCATTTAGCTCAGTTCCTTATTTATCAGAGGTCATCACAGTGGAATAATCTGCCAATTTTTCCAGCATATGTTTTATGCAGCGGATGCCCTTCCAGCTGCAACCCAGTACTGGGAAACACCCATACACACTCACATTTACACACTATGGTCTATTTTGTTTTCCAATTCACCTATAGCGCATGTCTTTGGACTGTGGGAAGAAACTTGAGCACCTGGAGGAAACACCACCCAACACCAACGCGGGGAGAATATGCCAACTCCACACTGAAATGCCAACTGGCCCAGCCGGGACTCGAACCAGCGACCTTCTTGCTCTGAGGTGACAGTGCCAACCACTGAGCCACCATTCTGCCTAAATAATACTTTCATACATACATAAATTAAATGACCAGTAAGAATAGACTACGACTTAGTTTTTACAGCCCAGTAAATCATTTTGACTTTGTGTGTACCGCTGTGTTAGTGATCTTCAAAAACCTGTTTATTGCTTCTCTATAGCTGAATGCATCTATGTAAGTGAGCACAACTACAGAATCAGACATTGATATTCTTTGGTGGAAACAGTGTTTAATAGATAGGTCATTGATAGGTACAGCGATAGGAGTAGGATCTGGTGTTTTCTGGGCCTGATGTCAATAAAAGCTTTTATTTCAGTAACAAGGACCTTTTCAGCTCTGAATCCTACAGGACATTCTTTTAGTGCAATGACCACTTATATATCAAAAGCTCAAGTCAAAGTTGATTTCTTAATTCATGACCACTTTAAACCACTCCTTACGATACAATTGAAATCAAACTTGGCCAACTCATTTAAAATAATGTATGCCATTGTCAGGACCGGCACAAGCCTCACTGGTGCTCTAGGCAAACGACGATCCTGCCTCTTTCACGGTGATTATGCCAAGAGGGGGATTTCACCTCTAGCAAAATGTCGCCCTGGGCGATCGCCCATATTGCCCATCCCTAAATCCGCCCTTGACTATGTATTCAGACTGGGCTGCTAGTCTGATTACAGTTGGATTATTTAGGACCAATTTTTTGTTGAAAAAGACATCTAATAGACATCAAAGCATACACGTCCTGGATAAAACAAGGCTACATTTGAGCTGTCATAGTCTAACAATGGACGACTGATCAAACAGTCAGGTTAGACAGACTTTACATGTGCACTAATTAATTCCATTCTATTTAATGACTGGTCGATTTTTAGGCTATTGTAAGACATATATT